TTAGACGACCTGTTCTCTGCTATCGGCTTGCAGTTCCTTTCTAGTCGATTCTGTTAGCTCCTCTGGTTCAGGTTCTATCGTTTCTAGATTCCACTCGAAAGTTCTGTCATCGATAGCCAGTGTCAAAGCCTGTGCTACTAAAAGTCAAGGGTAGCTTGGCAACCAACATCAACGGCTCATCTTCATCCTTTATACCAGAATCCTCTTTTTTTCTTTTTCAGTAAATACTGTAGCCGTATTTTTAAGCTAAGGATCAGCTGGGGGGTGGCCTAAACAATCTCATGCCTGACATTAATTGCAGTGGGAGTAGCAGTCGGGGCTCAGTTGCTAAAGAAGACTCACGGAACCCAAATGACGGTGTTTAAAAATTTACAGTTCATTATAGGAAAAGGCTATCATATGCCATCAGCATTAAAAGCAGGATCAAAACCACAGGCTGCCTCACAGCCTAGGGTCCAGAGAGACCCGGTGCAAGCCCAGCGTGCCCGCTCTCTGGAAGGGCGGTACCAGGATGCACTTTCTCTCTTGGATCAAGAACCACCGATGTGAGTACAAACCACTTTGGAAACTAGGGAGCATGTAGTAGAGTCTCATACAGGGTTTCTTTCTTTTCTTTTCTTTTCTTTTCTTTTTAGATTTTAGATTTTATTTATTCATTTGACAGAGACACAGCAAGAGAGGGAACACAGCAGGGGGAGTGGGAGAGGGAGAAGCGGGCTTCCCATGGAGCGGGGAGCCCGATGGGGGGGCTCCATCCAGGACCCTGGGATCATGACCTGAGCTAAAGGCAGACGCGTAACGACTGAGCCACCCAGGTGCCCGTCGTACAAGGTTTCTTAAAGCCTTCTGGTAACCTCGGCATATTCTTCCCACATAGCTGGTCCCATACCCTGCGACCTTCATGGGTCTCCCCCAAACCAGGTAAAAACGGTCAGTGTTACTTCTACCAATAAACAGTAATGATAAGCCGTAACCCATGGCTACAGATCAACACAGTAAGGCACTTCTTTTCATTGCTTTGATCAAGGCTCTGCATTGTGTAGCCTTTTAGCAAAAAAAAAAAAAAAACTTAGGCCAACTCCAGAGCCTTTGAAATTAACCCTCACAGCACAGATAACCACATCAAAGTGCCCCGACTTTCTTGCTGGGCAGAGATGTGCTGGGAAAGTCCTTCAGCCTGAAGTGTCAGCTGCCTGGAGAATGGCATGACGTCACCGGCAGCCTCCTCTTCCCACAGGTGCCCCCTGCCTGGGCAGCAGGTCGAGTCGGCAGGCACACAGCGCTTGTCCCCCGGCGCCCTCCCCTGTCTCTGCACAGATGAGGTTACGGGATTGTTGGTATATTAGCACAGAGTCTCTGCATTGACCCATGGGATGAGCTTGGGGGTGATGTGGGCACCGTGGGACTTATGCTGACTTTCTGATGCTTCTCTTTTGTCCCACTGTTCTCCCTGGTACAGAACTTGGGATGGTTTTCTTTTTCTGTCAAGTCTATAAGGGCACCTTCTGTAACCTCCCTTTGGCTCTTCACTATGGACCTCCACGTGTACTGCTATAATTCCCAGAGGGAGGCTCCTTCTCTCTGGTCTCTGCTTTCTCAACTACAGACCCATTCTAAAGGTGCTTTCTAGTCCTCAGAGCCCAAGAGGCAGTAAAAGACAAAAAAAAAAAAAAAAAAAGTCAGCTTCAGCTCCTCACTTGTGGCATTTGTAGAAAGGAGTAGAGTTAGCATTGGAATCTAGAATGTTGAAAGGGCAATTACTCAGCAGCCAGAGCCTCAGGAGCCATTAATAGGATCCTGTGCTCATTCTCTGCCCCCCCCCCACACATACACACTGCTTCATTTTCTGCTTTTTCTGCTTTTCCTGAAGGACACAGAGGGTCCTGGAGAGCAAGTCTTTTTGTCCTGTCCCCACCCTCTCTCAGCCCCACAGCCCTCACACGGAGGGACACCAATGAATGGCCCCTATTCTTCAATTATGTCAAAACCTGTAGCATCCTCTACTGTACAAATAATTTTTGAAAGAGTGGGTATATTAGCACATGTTTGGTTTTTATATGGCTTTAAAATATAAAGTAAGAAGATAAAGATACTCACCTCCCAATGGAAATTCCTAGTTTGAGGTAAAAAAAAAAAAAAGTTACACAGAATTGTCTGCTGGTTGCTTTTTGAGGCTTCGAGAAACAGCGAATCGTTATGTTTAATGTTTCATCAAAAAATCTCACTGTATTCTTTCAGATGGTCGTTTTGAACACTTAAGTGCATGTCTCTGTGGCAATTAAATTGTCCCTATCGATTTTCTCACCTCTTTTCAAGTGCGTAGTATTGGCTATGGATATCGACTAGAAGTCTTTGAAAAAATTGTTCCACGAAAGGGGAATTCTGTTTGGTACGTTTGTGTTCTCCGGTCTTCTGTGAGGGCCCATTCTCCTTTTTAACCGCATCTGGTTTCAGCAGAGCTCACTGCGCAGTATTTCTCCCCTCACTGTGTCATCTCTGCTCCTGTTCTTCCAGAGCAGTTGCCTTGCTCCCCTCTGGAGCTATTTAGACTCCAAATTTTCTATTCTGTGTGTTACCCACTTACCTGTACAGAGATGAGAGTAGACTCGGTAAAAAGAAATTTGTGCCATGTTGCTACTTGGTTTGCTTCCATCACACGAGTAAATGAGACTCAGTACAAACCCGAGTCTACAAATTCTCCCTTGTTAGTTCTTGTATCCTTGGATGGAAGGCAAAATATTTATAATGATTAAGACAGAGTAACAAGAAAATAATAGGAAAACTTCAAACCACCCATAGCTTCCTTCAGTCTGCAAAGAATCTTGCTGAAAATATTGACATTTGGAAGAAAGCCGTTCCTCTCTTGCACTCATGGAGATGGTGAGCTGCTTTTTTAAATGTTCTCACCGCCTGAACATTTGCCCCTTAAGCAAGTGCAGCACACAGAAGAGGAGGGGCTGAGAAAGTTGGGAGTCCGCTGTCTGTCTGTGTCCCTCTCCCCAGGCTGCCTTGTAGCCCCTGCTTGCTGGGCCCTTCCCTCCTCCGGGCCCCCTGCCTTTTTGCATTATTATTTTTTTCATTCATTCTTTTTCCTACCTGCCTCCCTCTCAAATCAAGCTATGTTCTTTCCTGCCACTTTAAATAAAGTCTCGGCTTCCACGTAAAGAGGTCATCTCTCTGTCTTGAGAGTATTTTAACACAAAAGGAGTGGGGCCTTTGCTTTGATAGGGTGAGTGCTAGTCCGGGGCATTTTCGGGAAAACTGCGTGGAAGCCACAGAGCTTTACTGACTGGGATGAAAGACAAAAACCCCTCCTGTTTCCACCACCAGGTCTCCTTCTGGCTTCCAGGGAAACTTAAAAGGTTACTATTTTTCTAGAACTCACTACAAATAACTAGTAAAATACATTGAAGTCTTAAATTTGCATCTGCTTAGCATCGGGCAAGCTGTTTACTGACTGGGATGGCCCAGGTTTATCTGCAGCTACATTTAGGATTGTACTGTCTCCTCCCACTAGATGTGCAGGAGATTTACTTAATTATCATTGATTCTTTGTCTCCAAGGACTGAGAATTCAGACCAGAGCTTAAGTGTATAAGGTGTTAGAAAAGCACTCTTGCTGCATTTCCGATTTGGCTAATAAATTGGCTTTAGAGAAAAGCATCTTCCCATGACATTTGGGAGTAAAGCTTGTGACTGAGGTCTCGCTTTTGTTAAATTTTTGTCTTGTAGCATACGAGTAAATAACACTTCAGAGCAAGGGAATCCACCTCCCCCCAATCTTAGAAAGTTCTTAGAGGACTTGAAAAGTACGTTGTAAAATACAACTTGAAGGTGAGAGAAATAAGTGAGCCTCAGGTCTAAAAAATGAGTAGATTATGCAGTTACTTCAGTGTCTCTTTTGAAAATGTTAATCAAGTTGATGATTCTTTTCACCTAATATTAAGGTAGCAGAGAGATTGTGAGGTGACTGAAATTTCAAGGCGAAAAATGCTTAATGATTACAAATGCATAGCTGGAAATAGAATTTACACAACCCTAACCATACAGATTAATCAAACTGATCTTCTCTAATACTAATCCGAAAAGGTATTGTCAGGAACTCTTTCAAAATTTCTAGTAAAACAGATTTTTTCTTACTCAGAATGGGGAAATGACTCTGTTCCCATAGAACATTCTGGGTTCCCTGAACTCTCTCTGGAATACCCCTGTGCTTCAGGAATGGAAACTTTCCCCGCCCACATTTTTCACCCACTGCCATCGAGATTTCACAATAACCTCAGATCCTGAATACTCCAGCCATGAAACTTAGAGCTGGGGGGTGGAGACAAACCACTTTAAAGGAGGGTAGGGTTTACCTCTACAGTCTTCCACTCTACCAGCTGAGCTATCAAAGGGCACATGGATAAAGCAGATGTGGTATATATATACAGTGGAATAGTACTAGCCATCAAAAAGAATGAAATCTTGCCATTTGCAATGACATGGATGAAATTAGAGGGTATTATGCTAAGTGAAATAAGTCAGTCAGAGAAAGACAAAGACCATATGATTTCATTCATGTGGAATTTAAGAGACAAAACAGGTCAACATAGGGCAAGGGAAGGGAAAATAAAGTAGAATAAAAACAGAGAGGGAGGCAAACCGTAAGAGACTGTTAACTCTAGGAAACAAACAGGGTTGCTGGAGGGGCAGTGGGTGGCTGGTTGGGGTAACTGGGTGATGGGCATTAAGGAGGGCACCTGATGGAATGAGCACTGGGTGTTCTTTGCAACAGATGAATCACTAAATTCTACCCCCTGAAACCAGTAGTACACTATAGGTTAACTAAATGGAATTAAAAAAAAAAAAATTTTTTTTTTTTAAAGACAGTAGGGTTTGGGTTTGGTGTTCACTAAAGAGTACAAGACAACCCAACCAGGATTTTCTAAGGAAAGGGAAGAAGAGTGAAAGGAGAATTTTCCCCTCGGAATCACTTGTGATTTTATGTGGCTTTTGCAGTGGATCTCTTGAGCCTGTCGGCGGCCTGCGATGCCTTGGACCAGCACAACCTCAAGCAAAATGACCAGCCCATGGACATTCTGCAGGTCATTAATTGTCTGACCACTATTTATGATCGCCTGGAGCAAGAACACAACAATCTGGTCAACGTCCCTCTCTGCGTGGATATGTGTCTCAATTGGCTCCTGAATGTATATGACACGTATGTATGGCAAGCTCTTTACGGACTCCGCCACGGGAAGCTTAGTTTCCAGAATGGTGCCGGTGTAATTAGCATCACAACAGGGGCCCCAGTCTAGAAACACTGTCCTCAGGATGAAAGGTTCATGAAGCCCTGTGAGCCAATGCTGTCCCTGTGATAAATCATTTTTGCATTCACTGAAGCTGAAAAATATTTGGATGAACTAGGAGGTAAGAGCTAGAATGTAGATTGCTCTCAGAAAACAAACAAAACCCTAGATACTCATTTTTCATACTCATGTTTCGAATAGTAGAATGAGTCAGTGTGTAGCCTTTTCTTGCCTGTGTAATTTGAATTCCTCCATCCACTTCGGGGGCGGCTCCCACTCAGTGGCAGAAATGGGTGTGCTCTTGGGGATGCTGGTACACCTGTCATCAGATCTGAAGAGCATTCGCTGATACTCAGGAGCTTTTTGCGGAAGATCGTGAATTGATAAGCCAAACAAAACGAGAACAAGCCCTTAATGGAGCCACCTCAGCTTCTCAAACTGAGGAAGTTTTATAGTGTTCTACAGAGTTTCTGTTCGACACCTCCCTTCATCACTCTCTTGGAGAGTACTGGTTTATTTCTTTTGGATTGCACACAGGAGGTATCCCCAGTTCTTGTTTTTGTCTTGAGCTCACTGAAGGCAGTTGAGGAAGGTAGCAGACAGAATTGGTTTGAATTTTGACTGAATTCTTCTTAGACCTCAAAATGATTGCATGCCTCATTTCACATGCCAACGAGAACACATCCCCCTTTGGAAATCTGGGAAGGTTTTCTGAGAAGAGTTGCATTTCTGCTGTTTTGCCTTTGTTGTAGATTTTATTACTTGAGACACAGATAGCTTGCCACTTCTGTGATTAAAATGTATACTTTTTTCCTTGTTATTTTGATAAGGTAGTCCTTTTTGAATTCCAAGACCACCTGGCTGTTTAATTCTGATAATTATTTACCAAGCCCTTGAACATATTGGATCTTAATTGTGGATTACCCTTAACATTTGCTCTGATAAGGGTTTGTACTCAGGTGATCCTTCACATATGTTTTGGCACTGTGCTCGTTGCAGATGACGTCCGAGTATATAGAACTTCCCTTCTACCTGCCTCACAATTACTTGGGGACAATTTTAACTCCTTGAAGACCTGAGTTATACTTTATGAAGTTTACTTGTTAAACTTTGATTTGCCTTTTTTAAAGAGGTGAAAAGATAAGGAAACTTTCCAATGATCATAATTTGGTTAATGGATTAGGATCCTGTTTGACTAAGGGATTTAGTAGATTGTACCAGTTAAAAGTTGAGCACATTGTTCACCCAAAGTAAACCCAGTTGGGACGTATTGTTTGCAGTTTTGAAGTGCTAGATGGGAAAATTATTCTATAATCTCTCTCTCTTTAAGCACCACATGGTTCACTTTCTTTCTCTAACAAAATAAAAGCTGCAAATTATTGAAAATCGTTTTCTACAAAATGGAACATTTTTCATTTTCATGTTCCATTTTTTTCCCACAGATAAAATGAACCATTTATAAGTTTGTCATGAGGAATGCTTTATTTCAGCTTTATATGAAAAGTGAAAGTGTAAACTTATTTAAAACACTGATGTAGCAATAGGTTGTTTTTAAATTGGTCTTTAAGATCATATATTTGAATGTTCTTTTTAATAGAAGATACCATATTTTTCTTTAGATAAAGGTGTGTATTTTATAGTATGTGTCATGTCACCTCAAGTGAGTGAGTGTCTTCTCAATCAAGGGCAGTCTGATGACAATCTGGGAGTGCTGGGTTTTTCTTGGGGGGCTTCAATAAGCACAGTAGGCAGTTTGTTGAGTAACCAAAATAACTTGGTGCACAGCAGTAATCCTTCCACTTACCAACTTAAATACCCAGGTGGCTCTCCATTGAATAGAAGGATATTTCTTACTCTTCATGTAGAGCTACTGTTGCAATTCAAGTAAGGGCTTTTTTTTTTTAAAAAAAAAAAAAGGATTTTATTTATTTATTTGACAGAGACAGAGAGAGCACAGATAGGCAGAGTGGCAGGCAGAGGGAGAGGGAGAAGCAGGCTCTCCGCGGACCAGGGAGCCCGACGCGGGGCTCGATCCCAGGACCCTGGGATCATGACCTGAGCCAAAGGCAGACACTTAACCGACTGAGCCACCCAGGCACCCCTAAGTAAGGGCTTTTAAGAATCGAAAACTTGGTAAAAGTTCCTTGGTCAAAGTGGTCACATTTCCATTGCATTCTAGGCCATGAGCCAAATAGATAAGGCAGATAACAAAGATAGTACATAACGAATAGCCAAGTTCTTCACAAATCTTAATAAGACCATTGGTTTCATACAACAGTGGTCAGTAGAGTTCCCGTATCCGAGGGTTTGTTTTTCTTTTTTCTTTTCTTTTTTTTTTTTTTCTTAAGAAGTGTTTACCATCTACTAAAGTGTCAGTAATTGTTTTCTGGTTTGATTATTCATAATAGGGGACGAACAGGGAGGATCCGGGTCCTGTCTTTTAAAACTGGCATCATTTCTCTGTGCAAAGCCCATTTGGAAGACAAGTACAGATGTAAGTCATGTGTATTAACTCTGTTCTTTCATTAACGTTGGCTAATTACCCCAGTTTCAGATGGGGAATGCCTCGTGTTGCGGTGACAGTGGGTTCCTCTTATAAGTTACAGAACTGCTTTTTTAGAGTGTCCTAAAACTTGGTTTGTGCCATTGTCTGTCAAACATGAAATAGCAGGTATTTAAATAGAGAATGAGGATTAACTTCTCCAGTCCAAGTATTATTTTACATTACATTGACTGTGTCTGAATAAAACACATGTTCCTAGAGGATAAATTTCCTAACCCTTTTGTAGAAGTCAGAAAAATAAATGTGTAGGTTTAATCCGTGCCCTTGCTTAGTCTTTGGATTCTTATTTAAAGAGTACTATCTGGCATTCGTGTTCCAGAAACATTGTTTATTTTGTAATCATCTTACTGCAAGTTGTACAGACATATCCACTTCTGTGACGTGACTAACATTTTATTACTTGAGACACAGGTAGCTTGCCATTTCTTACAGGGTAAATATCACCTTATAGAATTTCCTTTTGGTTAACTCTTGGGTTCTTTGACTTAAACTGTGTGAATCCAAATGAAAAGCAAATGCTAGAGGAGCAATGGAAGCGAGCGTTCTTTCCTTTCCCATTGTGAAGGACTGTACTTGTTTTTCCCCTTTAAAGGCTCGTAAGAAGTCTTGATGGTAGGAATATTAAGCAGACCTCGCCTATCATGTCATTTCTCTTTTCCCCTAAGGTCTAGCCACACAGGGATGAGATGTGCTGAGCTTGAGGATGGGCAGGAGATAAAAGAGAATGAATTTCTCCAAAGCCCCTCTGTGTCCTACTGCTTATTTCCCCCCAGGAGTAAGCCACAAGATACACAGGCCCTTTTAGCTCTCACTTTTATGTCGTTTTCACTTGAGTGTGTTTTTTTGTTTTTTTTTTTTTATCCTCGGATCCAAAGAAAAAGAACTGAACGGCTTTCATTAACCATTTAAAAAGGTATTTTGGGTAAAGTAGAATATTTCTGTGGGTTTTCCTTCTTTAAATAGTGGAATAACTTACAGGTTAGTTTGTAATCTAACCTTATCAGTGGTATGGTACCAGCCCATTGTAATACCAAAGGGAGCTTTGAGACTGCGTTTCAAATGACTAAGAGGGAACTTGTTTTGAGGTTGGTGACCAAGAATATGAACTTCAAATTGGGATAGGTGAAGATAATTCATAATTTTGAAAAAAAAATCTGTGCATGTGCATCGGAGAGATGGTAAAAGGCTGTGTGTGCTGCCTCGCTTTTGTCATTGACATCTTAGATACCCGGTTAAAATATTCAAATAGAGTTTAAAATGTGCTTATGAAAAGGAAAAGCTTCCTTGAATTTCCTTTTGTTGGCAACTTTTCTTTGAATACAAGGTATGATTGAAATGATTTTATTTCTGAGAACAAGACATACATGGGAAGTGTTGGGTGTGTTCATTCATTCTGTGACATTCCTCATGCACAGCTGACCGAATATGGCCCCTGCCCTCAGGGGGTTATCATTTTTCAGCCACAAAGACCAGCATGTATTAGATCAATGACGGTATAAAGTGATAGGAACTAATTTACAAATATATACAGGATCCTGTGGGCATACATGCAAGAAACTCAATGATCTTATGACTTCATAAAGAAGTTCCAATTTGGGTACATTTTTGAATCTCTCATGTCCAGAGGGGATGGTGCTTTGGACCAGTTACATGGCTCTTACTGCTAAAATATTTATTTTATGAAAGTGGTTACATCCTATATATAAAACAGTTCCCAAAGGATTACGTTTTAGCTTAGGAAAATTTAGGTGTCAAGACTGTATGTAAACTCACATTTCTTGCAGGACTGTAGTTTATTTAAAAGCTGTCACGCTTTCTGTATACACACAGTGATGATTAACTTGATCCATAAAAATAGTAAATGTGCAGATGAGCGTGAATTAGAAGGAACCCCTCTCTGTGGGAATATTGGCTGCTCTCAATAAGTAGTGCTTGGAATTGAGGTGGTTGGTAGGCTCTGCTAGCATCGACGTGGTGCTGCTTGATTATTGAAATGCTCTTCTTCCTTTTGTAGACCTTTTCAAGCAAGTGGCAAGTTCAACAGGATTTTGTGACCAGCGCAGGCTGGGCCTCCTCCTGCATGACTCCATCCAAATCCCACGACAGTTGGGTGAAGTCGCATCCTTCGGGGGCAGTAACATTGAGCCGAGTGTCAGGAGCTGCTTCCAGTTTGTGAGTTACTCACCTTCTTAAGTAACTTGTTTCTTTTTTGCATTTTAAAAATTAATGAAAAAATAAAAACACACAACTTGAGTTTCTCACATTAGCTCCCGTGGAGGCAGGTAGGTAGGGGATTCATACTTGAAACCTCTGGAGGCAGTGGCTTCGGGACTCTGGGTTTTGGGAGAGAGGCACCCAGGCGCCCCTGACTATCACTTTTTGAAGTTGTCCTTCTGTAGCTTTGACCTTCCTCTATAATCTGAAGGCCTGATTGGTGACTCTTCATATAACAAGGTCAAAGGTTTATGCTCTGCTGGTGTCCATCCCTAGCCCAACGCACGGCTTGTCCATTCTCTTACCCCATCCCGGGGCGTCTTCCACACCACAGTCGGTTACCCCAGAAACATCCTCTTCCAGCACTCCACTGAGAGACACGTAGGCTGTTTCCGCTGTTTGCTGAGGTAGGTAATGCTGCAGTGAACATCTTTATGCATTTAGCTGTTTTCCTTGGTTGAAGTTTTCCCTTAGGATAATTTTTCAGGAATGGGATTACCAGACTAAAAGAGTTTTGTGGCTTTTGATACCTATTTCCGGATGGCTTGTTGTCAAATGTTGTTCCTTTGTAATACCACTGGCCCTGAAGGAGTGGGATATTTGCAGTATCCAGTTATTCACAGTGGTCTTAGTTTGGTTTGTTTGTTTTCATGCTAAGAGCTGTTTTTCTTTCATGGGGTTTGTCAATCCCTAGTGATCCCATGAACAATAGAACTAGCTCTAGAGATCACCAGATAACCTGGTTGAACCTATGGTCTTTGACCACAGACTAGGGTAAAACCACAGAAGGCCTCCTAGGCAGAATGTTGTGAATATTTAGATGTTTAAAGCCATTTGAGCATTCATTTAAAAGTTAACCAGGCCCACCGACGAAATGCCCACATAATAAGCCACCTTATTTAGCATTGGACGTACTGTTTGGATTGTTGTGCTAAAGTTAGGGCACAGTAGCTATAAATGTAAAATAGATGTGGAGAAATAAATCCTTTTTTGCCTCATGCTCAAACTTCCCAAAATGTAAATCGGTTTTCAGTACCTCTAGATTTTTTTTTTGTACTCTATTCCAGAATGGAGACACAAGTAACTTTCATAAAATGAATAGTAATGGCCACAAATAATCCAGATTCATTTTTTTAAGTCCAGTTAGAGAACAACCTATAATGGCCTGAGTTGTTTTTCCTAAGCATTGTTTTCTTTTTAATCAAATTTCAGTTACTCTTTAAATTCTAGTTGTGAAGCACACACACGTGTTGATATAAATGCATAGGCGCACAGTTACGTGTGTACCGTGGCTTGGGTTGAGAGTAAGGGCCCGAATGGAAGTCTGCCGACAGCCGACAGACATCAAGAACCACTGGAGCCCCTGTCCCATCGGCCACAGGACTGCCTGGGGCTGCAGCTACCGCCACCCTCCCTGCAGACTCTCACTCTTTTTTAGAGGGAGAGAATCTCAAGCAGACTCCCCACTGAGCACGGAGCCCAGTGGAGGGGTGGGGGGGGCTCGATCTCACGATCCTGAGATCATGACCTGAGCCAAAACCAAGAGTCTGACGTTCAACTGAATGAGCCACCCAAGCGCCCCCTGGCTCTTTTTTTTTTAGTTGAAATATACAAAATACTTGACATATTACACGGTGTAAATGTAAGGTGTTCAACACGTTGACTCGATACGTTAGTACATGGTCATATGATTGCCATTGCTGTGCTAGTGAGCCCTTCTATCACGTCGTATAGTTATCATTTCTTTGGTAGGAATAAGTAAGATCTCGCCTCTTGACTCTCTTGAGTGGGAGTCAGGACAAGGGGTCACTGAACAGAAGCTCTGCCTTCCCAGATGCTGTGCCCTTATCAGGAGCCACGTCCCTGTACTTTGACGTGCCGCATCATTTGGCTGAATGCCCCCCATTCTTCCCTGACCACATGTCTCTGTCTTGGTAATAGCAGCGCTGTCTTCTCAGTGTCGAAACTTGCAATTCAGTCTGTCCTCACATATTGAATGAACGTGTTCTGCCTAGCCAGTCTGCAAGCTCTTGGGAATGTCTTCTGTGAGCCTGGAGGGGAATCTGGCAAGAGATGAACAGGGGTAACAGGTGGATGTTATTTTCTTCTCTCTACTCTATGGTATTTTCTGAATTTTCTTCTTTGAACATTCAGAATTAGAAAAAAATGAGTAAAGTGCTGACTTTTTTTGTTTTTAAGAGAAAGAACCCCTCTTTCGTCTGATCTCCTTCCTTGCCGCTCTTACTATTCACTACACCCTGACCTTGTCGCTGCTCTTACTGCTCTTGTACTGGTTTTAGAGAAATGTATTCGCTGTATGATAGCATGTGTCAAAATCTGTTTCTTCCCATGGCCCCCTGAATAAATCCTAATTTGTCTGATTCTCACACCTTTCCTAATCTGTTTCCATAACCACCCACCACTGGCTTTCACCTCCATGAAACGGCTTCTCCCTACCCTTTGAAGCTACTACGCTGATAAATACCGTTACCGTTGCTACTGATAATCATACCTGATACTGGTTCACATGAATTCTGTCCTTGAATCTCACCAGTCCTTTGAGGAGAATGAATGGGCAGGCGGTGGGGGTTGTGTTTTTCTTGTTATTTAAATGGATGAATAATTTACCTCTGCCCCTCAAGGCCCTCAACTGGCAGAAGACTAATTGCTACTTCTGTGTCCCCAAACCTCCACTTAACACCTCAGTCCCAAATACGCATATTTTGATTCTGCTCTCCACCCTCCTGAGGTGAAATAACAGGGCTTTATTCTGGGTCCCTGCGGGACTACAAAATGCCATAACAAAAGCGGAACATACGGGACTTGGGGTTAAGAGGAATGCTCATTTTAAAGAAGTTGAGTTTTGGCAGTGGGATGTTTCTGGTAGGATGTCAGACACGTTCTCGGTGTACAGAGCCAGGCAAGGTTTATGTTACTTAGGTTTGGGAAGCCTCTCGACTTGCTAGCCATTTGCAGTCGGGTTCACCCGATCCATTTTGTTTCCTTCACAGTCGCCATCCTGGCCCTGGTGTGCTCTCCCTCAGCCAGGTGCTCTGGCAGGCAGCTCGCGGTTCCCCGTGCACTGCAAATGAAAATGTGCAGTTTGCCGCAGCGAAAGTTAACACGGGTGAAAATGCCCTTTGCCCTTTGTTTGAAGTGTAAAGACCTTGGGACTGGGGCCAGGCTGGTTCCTTCAGCAAGACTGTGCTCAAAGACCTCTGTTTCTAAACCTCAGGAAACAGGAGGGAAGTCCTTGTTTTCTCCTACGATTGCATGCCTTGTATCCAGAAGGAGAAGTTGACTTCAGAAGAAAACTTACTTCTTTCGGGTTGGTCCAGTTAGAACGGTGTCGCTTCTGATTCAGGCAAGAGCCTAGGAGCAGCCGGGAGAGAGGGCTGTTTTCACATACAGGGCTCACTGGGCGATCTTGTAAAGCTTTCCTTAGCTCAGGTCCGGATCTCTCCATTCTGGACATGGATGCACAACAGGATGAATGGACTTTAGTACTGCTGAACTGGCCACTTAAAAATGGGTAAGATAGTAAGTTTCAGGGTATGTATACTTAACCACAATAAAGAAAGTTGGGGAAGAAACCCCAAAATAGTCCTAAATCAGAGAGTAACGGAAGTCACCATCACGTGCAAGTACAATGTTTTGCCTATATTTAAAAATCAGTATAGGTCTTTCAAGGAATTACCCAGTAAGCCAGGACCCGAAGTCATATCTGTGGCTATCAAAAAGGAGAATTATCCATAAATGTATGGATTTGACAGTGGTATCTTCTTTGAGAGTAAATGAGGCAACCGGATAATGTTTCTACTGTAGAAGCTTACTGCAGTCAACACATGTAGTGGGAAACTGACTCTTTTGGGTAGTAGAAGTGAAGTTTTGAAACTAGTTTTTTTTTTAAAGATTTTATTTATTCATTTAACAGAGACAGAGCACAAGTGGGGTGGGGGCAGAGGAGAGGGAGAAGCGGGCTCCCTGCGGGCTTGATCCCAGGACCCCGGGATCATGACCTGAGCCGAAGGCAGACGCTTCACCGACTGAGCCAGCCAGGCGCCCTGAAACTAGTTTGTTTCAATGAACGCATCATCAGGCTGTTCTTTAGTTCATAATCCATGGAAACAGCTCCATTGTCAGAGTGGAGTGATCCTTAGGACCTGAGTAAGGCTGAGCATGCCCTGGCAGTGAGTCACACAGATTGCCCGAAGGAACCTTGGAGTTTCACTGCATGTCTCCTTTTTCTGCTGAGGAAACTGAAGCCCAGAGAGGCAGGACTTACTACGTTCTACATACTGCAGTCATATCATGTCCCATCTAGGCAGAAGGCCTAAGTTCCCCATGTTCCAAGGCCAGTATTTCCTTCTGCTAAACCATCTGAGTGGAAATAGATGGCTTTAACTGGTTCAAATACCAGACTGAACAAAGAGCTAAGAAACATGATCCCTTATGTGAATTTTTGGTTATACTAGGATGACACGGATAAACGAACACCCTTATCACTACCACAGTGCATGTATACGCACACGCACACACACACCACGCCTGTCCCATGATCTTTATTTAAGCTATTCTATTCCCAATGGCAGGTGGCTAAGTCTTCCTGCAAATGAAACCAACTAATAATTGCCTTTTAAGTGGGAAAACTTTATACCTTTAAGGGACTCCACAAAAGGGTCGTGTATCTGTAAATTGGTATTTGGCAGTGCCCTGAGAAGTACCACCATCCCCCATGATAGTTTGTAGAGTTTTCTTCTGTAAACATTTTAAGGACTTCATTGTTGAGATGGATTCGAGTATACCAACTTTATATTCAGTTGGCTTCACCTACAGAGCTTGGGCACCAGACTCTGTTTATTTTACATCTGTTTCCTGCCTCCTGTTGTAGTCATGCATTCAAAATGAGTAAGTTGCTTTTTCATCTGTCCTGTGAATTTTTATATTCATATGACAAA